TAGTTTTGACTCCCTGAAGATATTTTATCATAGCCTGATGGGTGGTATCATAGTCACCATGGTATTGGCTTACGAGCAATTGGCGAGTCAGAATAGGCGTCAATTTTCATTTCCCTTGCCGCCTTACACATGCGGATGCCGGCTAGCAAGGCCTCATACTCAGCTTTGTTATTTGAAGCCTAAAACTTGAACCGTAGTGCATATTCGTACTTGTCCCCTCCAGAAGACTGGCATATAATCCCAACACCACATGCGTTCATAGTTCGAAGGTGATTTCAAGACTTTGAATCTCGATAGCCCACTTGTCATTCGACCGCATGACTCTAACGTTGTCACTGGCCGCTTGAGTGGCTGGTCTGTATAGACCACCACCGAATGTGCTAGGAAGTATGGTCTCAACTTCTTGCTTGCTTTGAATAGAGCAAGGCCAAATTTCTCAACCGTCGAGTATCAGACTTCTGCATTCCAAAGTATGTGGCTAACAAAATATACCAGGATATGATTGTCGGCTCTCCCGGCTAGGAGAATAGCACTAAGAGCATGATTTGAGACGACCAAATGCATATAAATCATCTTCGTAGGCAAAGCACTTACAAGTCTTAGTAAGGAGTGCAGATGTTCTTTAATTTATGAAATGTCGCCTCAGCATTAGATCATCTCCCCATTTAAACATGTTTTTCTTCCTAATAGCTTTGGAAGAAATAGAGGCATTTTGTCACTTGACCGGCTGAGGAATCTCCCTAATGCCGACTGGAAACCGGTTAACTTTTGCACTTCTCTGACAACGGGGTGACTTCATGTTAATGATCGCCTATACTTTCTCCGGGTTTGCCACAACCCCCTTTGATCAATTAAAAATCCGAGAAACTTCCCAGACTCAACACCAAAGTCACACTTCTTGAAATTGAGCATGACCTTCTGCCGCTTGAGTATGGTGAAGATGTCTCGGAGGTCGGCTAGGTGATCCGTATGTAGCTTGGATTTGACTATCATATCATCAATGTACGCCTCTACATTTCGATCAATCTGGTTAATGAAAACCACATTAATCATGCGTTGGAATGTGGCCGGCACATTTTTTAAGCCATACGTCATCACTGATAACAGAATAACCTGTAATCAGTGACGAATGTCGTCTTCTCTTGATCTTTCTTCCACAAGGGTATATGATGAAAGCTGGAATAGGCATCTATAAAACTCATCATGGCATGTCCGGTAGTAGATTCGACCAGATTGTTGATCTTTAAAAGCGGATAAATGTACTTCGTTCATGCCTTGCTCAAATCTACGTAATCTACACACATGCATGCGCCAGGTCCCATTTGGCTTTTTGACCAAGACAACATTGGCCACCCAATCGGGATAAAAGCAATCCCGAATGAACCTAGCGTGTAACAGCTTTTTCACTTTAGCAGCTGCTGACTGACTTCTCTCCTCGTCGTGATTCTTTTTCTTTTACCTAATAGGCTTTTTATTTGGGTTGACGTCGAGTTTTATGGACATCTAGATCAGACTGATGTTGGGCATCTCTTCCACTTCAAAAGCAAAGATATCCTTGAATTCCCTCAACAGATTTTGTAAGTCTACCCCTAATTTTTGCAAAAGCAACCGTCCCCACCTTTGCAGTTCGTTCCGGACATATGTCATCCAAAACTAAGTCAATGTTCCTCACCGACCGGCTGGGGACGAAGTTCATCTGACCGTTTCTCAGTTATTAATTGCTATTCTTTCTCCTTCTTGACGGTTACCAGCTGGTCGACCTTTCTCTTCTTACCGCCTGCTGGTGGGACAGACTCAGGCTCCTTAATATCATCATGATCTATCAGCTCAACATCCTAGACGACTACTGGAGGCTTGACGTCTGAGAGGTAGCATTCTCGTGCCATCTTCTAATCTCCTCTTAAAGAACCGACTTGCCATCATCTCTTTCAAATTTCACTAGCATGAGGGAGGGGATTATGACGACCTTGGATTCATTTAGAGTAGGACGACCTATAATGAGATTATAAGCGGTCAGCTGCTCCACTACCAAGAACCAGATGACCATATTTTGCCCCTTTCCCTTTTCTCCTAGTCGGATGGGTAAATCAATTCGCTGACTGGGTAGTTGACCTTACCCCACAAACCAAGGGTGAGAGACTTGATGCATGCTGCTGGGGTTGAACTTCAACTTTGACAAAACATTGCCAACTAATTATATCAGACGAAATGGTATCAATAAGGATTCGACCAACCTTTTGGTTGGCAACTTTGCATTCGAAAACCATGGGGTCATCATGCGGCCGCCTGCAGATCTCGCTCCGGTCCTTCTTAGTGATGACAACCCTGAGTAATTTCTCAGCAGACGTTTGACCTTCCTCAACTGAATTGACCATTTTTTGGACATGGTCCTTGGTGCTTCTGATTGTCAGGCTACCTGAAGCGAAACCGCCTGCAATTGTACAAATCATGTCCGGATTTGTGTCCGAGCCACTGTTAGCTTTTTGCTTCTTTTTTGGATGGCTGCTTAGGGTCTGTCTTCAGAGTCACCTTGGACTTAAGAATGTAGGATTTCCACAATTCCTTCTTAGCCAATTTGTTCAATAGCCGCTTGAGACTTAGGAGTCATTGGTGTCATGGCCTATGTCCTTATGAAAATGACAGTATTTGCTCTTTTGTCATGCTACTTTGTCGGATCTTTTACTGCCGAGGGCTTATCAAAGCTCACCTAATCTTTGATCTTCATGAGGATGGAGTAACAGTCTTTGTTAAACTCGTACTTTGGGACGTACGGTTTAACTTCTTTCTTTTTCTTCTTGGACGGTTAACTAGAATCGTCGACCGCCCAAACTTCTTTTCTCTTTTAGCTCTCTTCATTTTTCTGAGCCGTTGTTTTGGCCGAGTCCCTTTTTGCTTGTCGGACCTCTTTGAGTCCAACTGCTTGCTAGAGGAGCAGAGTTCAGTCGTCTCTATGTAGGCTTCTACCTCTTTCATCGCTTCTAGAAGAATGAAGATTCTCTTCCGGACGACGTCGAACTTGAATTGCAACCCTTCCTTCAAACCATTAAAGAAGTTTGTGAAAGCTACCTCATTAGGCAGTCCTTGGATCTGAATTCTCTCTATATTTAACTGCCTAACATATGCGCAGAGCCCTCGTGATCCCCCTGAACAACCGCACCCTAGTCTATACTTGTCTTTTTAGCTGGTATGTTCATTGAGAAGTTTAAGGCAAATAGGAACACAAGTGTCCTAAAATTGCTGATGCACCTAGACGACAGATTGCCAAACTACAGTTGGGCAATGCCCTTCAATGTAGTTGGGAAGCATTTGCACCATGTAGCATCATCCAACACATGTGGATACATGAGGTTGGTATATGCCATTAGATGGTCTTCAGGGTTGGTGGTGCCATCATAGGAACAAACTAGAACATTCTTAACCTTGGCCGGTTATGCTGCCTCAGTTATTTCCTTGAAGAAAGTCAAAGGTTGTTCACCAAGTTTGAGTAGATGAAGCTGCCAGTCCAAGGGTTGCAATTGATATGCTGCTTGACCTCCGTAGAGGGCAAGTTGTTGAAAAGGTTGGGCAAACGGGCCGTATGATTGATGGGGCACATACGACACCGTGCTTATCACATGAGGACCCGTTCGACCGGGTGGGTCGGCTGACAGTTGCTCATGCTCTGAATGGAAATACCTCAACGAGGTATTCCTAAAGCTGTCTAGCATTGTTGACGTTGATGCCGTATCAGATAGCTGACTCCTCCTGTGCTCGATGATTTGCCGAGCATTAGTGTAATTTATCTTGCTGCCATCTGGCCCTATGTGCCGGATGGGTTTCCTTTTAGACGTCTCAGGTAGAAGTATCTTTGTCCAATCAATTAAGGGTCATACCCCCTCCTTCTGCTTAGGATGTGGAGTGGATTCCTTGTCCTTAACTGCTTTAGGCTTTATCACAGTGAGAAGGCTTCTTGGGCGACTAACCCTTGCTTGGGCCAGCCGTTTGACTTTTGATGAAGTCTTTCATCTCTCCCTTGAATTCATTTATGAACTTAAAAAATTCAAAAACGGGTGATGTGAGCAATCGACTCTTCCGCCTGAGGCTTGCCGGCTGACATGCTCGCACCAGCTTTGTTGGCATTTTGCTCATTCTTATCTTTGGGACGGATGCATTTAGTGATGAGGAAACCATCTGCTGGGGCCGTATGTACTTCGACCTCTGATTCCAATTTAGTGTCATGGTCCGAGTGGATCTCCGCTCCTTCTTAACGTTTGTCCTCCTGTGGCGGTACAGGTTCTTAAGAGGCCATCTTAGAGGTACTCTCCCCACATACGGAGCCAAATGTTTCGGGGTTTCTTGATGTGTCTTGCGGGAGAGTTACGTCACCAAGACTGGATCCTCGTTCGTCTATACCTGCAATGAACGGAAGCTCCGGATGTTCGGATTTTCGCCTTCGATGATCAAGTTAGTATGTGTCGAACTAGAGAAAAATGCGGAAAGTAAAGCAGATCTTCTCGAATCCCGAGATCAGGTGATTTTTCTGTTGTAAGAGAATACTGTATTGAATGATTGATGTAATAATCAGATAAAGTTCCTCTTGTCGAAGGTAATAAATGTCCATATTTATAGGGCATGGGAATTACTGCCCTAACCTAGGTCATTTAATCTAGGAAATTGGGCTGCGCCGTTTTTATGGCGCCTCGGGATTTGAGCCCATGAAGGTCGCCATTTTCCCTTCTGATTGTTGTGCCATGTGTCATGTCCTGCTTGGTCTATTTTGTGCACCTCCTAAGGTAACACGTGTCATGATATGATTGGTTCACGTGTTTAGGGTATTTTTTACCCTAAACACATAGCATGACTTTTATTAAACAAGATGAAGATCCGCAAGGCTAGAAATACCTTGCGGGAACACTCCAATACAAACATCTCCGAGTTTACTCCCGTTTCCCACCTAGCCATACGGTGAGCAACGGTATTAGCACGTAATTTAATATAGAGAGTTTGGTTTTGCATTTGTAAATTTGTTTTTTAAAAAAATTACAAAACTACCAAAGTGTCCCTGTGGTAGGATTTGGGCTGAGACACACTGGAGCAAAGAGTCTTCCTCTTTCCTTCATTTCCCTTGCTGATTTCCAAATCTTGAAGCTGCGAAAATACACTCATCCATTGTCAAGGTAAGCTGTCATCTTTCTACCTTCTTCTTTAATGGCATAAATCACTTTCCTTTACATTTTTTATTCACTTCCTTATCATAACCTTGCTTATTTCTATTTCTTATTACTTTGAATTTATTTTTTGTGCATTTAATTAACATTTCTCAACATTGAACTGTTGCTTATTTTTTGCTTCATAGTCTTACTGATTGAGCTGTATAAATGCAATCCGACGTCGTTTCTAAAGACCCTTGTTCAGAAAATGCTGTTAGTGCTGAATTGAGTGGTTGTGTTCTTGAAACCCTAGTTGAAGAAGAGGGTTTGAGGAGAGAGAAAGAATCTGAGGGTATGGAGGTTGATAATGTTGGTGAGCATTTGAATGATAAAGGAGAGGCTAGTAGTTTAAAGGGTGAATTGGGTTCTTTGAATGATGCTTGTGTTGAAAAAAAAAGTAAAGACTTAGTTACTACTGAGGGTGTAATGAATCAAGAGAACCCTATTAAGGCGAATTTCAATTCTTTTGCTCAGCAGTTATTTCCGAATCCGAATCCTGTTGATGTTGGCAGAAGGGGTAAGGAAGTGGAGACGAGGAAATCTGTAGAGAATCAATCAGGGGAGGTCAAAAGTCAGGCTGCCACCAGTGATAAGGTGGAAGGAGGAGATTTTTTCGGAACATAAGGGAGTGAGTCTTGTTGTTGATTTGAATGAGTGTGTTGGAAAAAATAAGAAAAAGGGTAAAAACAAAGGTGGGTTTTGTGCATCTGATATAGTTTGGGGCAAAGTAAAGAGCCATCCTTGGTGGCCAGCTCAGATATTTGAGCCTGGGGATGCGTCGGAGAAGGCTAGGAAACATTTCAAGTCGAAAGGTTATTTTGTGGGTTACTTTGGGGATCAAACTTTTGCGTGGAATGATGAGGCAAAGTTGAAACCTTTTGCCCCAAATTTCTCCCAGATGGTAAAACAGACTCATACGGAATCTTTTCGACATGCTGTGGATTGTGTTTTGGTTGAGACCTCTAGACGGGTGGAATTTTGGTCTCTCTTGTCATTGTATTGTTGACGATGTGTACAACCAATTAAAAACTCAGGTTGTTGAAAATGATGGAATCCGTGAACAATCAAGAATTCGAGAAGGAGGTGACAGATTTTATACTGCAGCATCTTTTGAGCCAGGACAACTTCTACATTATGTAAAAGATTTGGCACAAGGGCCACATGGTGATGTTGACCGACTAGAACATGTGGTAGCTCGAGCTCAAACGGCAGCCTTTTATAGATGGAAGGGTATTTATCATCTGGCCAAATTTGGATTGTTGATAGGGTATGTAAATAATGAGGCTGATGCTCCAGTCATTGCTGAGAAAGAGAATCCTGAAGGGATTGTTGGTGGCAATTTTCCACCAGTAACCATTAAAGAGGATGATAACAGGCCTCAAAAAAGGAAGAAAACATCTAATGATAGTGGTCATGTGACAAAAAAGGTCAGGTGCTTGTCTGACTTGATAGGTAAGAAGAGCGTAAAAGAGGAAGATGGCAAGGGGATTAAAGGAAAATTAGGCAGTAAATCCATCTCATCTTCTGCCAGGAGACAAAAAGAGGTCAAATCTTTTCCTAATGACTCAACTCCCTCAAGAACTAAGGAAAGCAGTCCTCGGGGAACAACTATGCAATTGAAAGACACAAAGCCGTCATTTAGAGTAGGAGAAAGCATTCTAAGAGTTGCAGGTCAACTGAGCCAGTCATCGCCTTTACTCAAACTTGATGTGTCCTCGCATACGAAAACTAGCAAAGATGAAGGTAACAACAAGCAATGCAGCAAACTCACTTCTGAGTATGCTTCTATTGATGTAATTCTTTCAGAGCTACACTTGGCTGCTATTGAACCCCTCAAACAATACAGTTTGTTGAGTAAGATGGTCACTTTCATTTCCGTTTTTAGAAATTCAATTGTTCCTGACATTGAGCTCTTGCAGAAGCATGAAAAGTCTGGGGAGGAAGATACAACTGACAGTCCTAATGAAGTACTCTCTGGGCCAGGACCTGCTGAAATAGATGCAGTAGGGTGTATTTCTGGTACGAAGTCTAAACCAAAGGCATCTGAATCTGAAATTACGACACCATCAGACGTCGAAGGTGTAGAGGATGCTTGTTGCACGAACCGAACCATCAAAGTCTTTGAGCAACAAACTTTGTTGAGTGATATTGTAGTTGAGCCTGAGCATTCAGAGGTAGATGGAATTTTTTGCCGGTTCGCAGGAGATGGAGTCTACAGTTTCATCACCTCCTCGCCATTGTGGATCTGAAAATGGTACACCAGAAGGGGGGCAATTTGATGTGAAAAAACAGCTGGAAGATTCACCAACAGCTTTAACTTTGAAATTCACTGACATGGATTCTATTCCTACAGAAGCTAAATTAATTAAAATTTTCAGTCACTTTGGTTCTTTGAAGGAGTCAGAAACTGAAGTATTGGCCAAAAAACTCTGTGCCAGGGTGGTGTTCAAGAGACGTTCAGATGCTGAAACAGCCTTCAGTAGTTCAGGGAAGTTTGAAATCTTTGGACCTTCACTTGTTTGTTATCGGCTTAACTATGCCCCATCTCCACGCAAATCTCCTTCTATTGAAGCTAAGCGTAGAAGGAAAGACTGAACACTTGTTGAAGGTAATCCTTCTAGATATTCAAGCCACATTGCTGTCAAATTGTTATTAGGTAATTCTACAAAGTATGTTCATTTTCATTTCCGTAGGTTGCTAAGCTAAGGGTACAGCTAGGAAGATAACTTTATAATGTAATACCTTTGTAAGGATTTTCAATCTATTACCTTTATTAATATCTGTGTTCACTAACAGCATGGTGTAATGGAATATTAAGATTCCCAGTTTTAAGGTACTCGATTGTGCATCTACCCTCTAGAATCACGGTGGGTGATTTGTTTGTCTATGACATCGTTGAATCAAATTTGTTCCTTCTTACCAACTTTTACTTTATAGTGTGTTCATGTAATTCATAGAGTTCCTCAATGCTAAAGAACATCAATCATTCTTATTTCTATTTTTAATGTATTTGTTTAGCAATTGGTTATTAATGTTGTGTCATGCTATATAGGCAATTGGTTCAACTCTTTTTGGGATAATAATAGTGTCATCATAATAACTAAAAAAAATTAACTTTAAAGTTTTATCTTCTCCATTCCAACTTAAATGTTGGATTTTGAATGAAATATAATAAACTGCTTTCTTCATTACAAGGTATAGTTCTGCTTTCAATTGATCTTTCATGTGTGTGTTTGTGTGTGTGTGTGTGTGAGAGAGAGAGAGACAGAGAGAGAGAGAGAGAGAGATTTCACTCCCTTCAATCAGTTCAATGTGATGAATATTATCCTTCAGGTTGAAACTAAGCTTCTGGTGGATTGGTTTTTACGCCACAGTGTCTCGTAGTTTTGCCCACGTATAAGATTTCAGCTCAGTTAGATTATAGGATGACAAACCTATTCACAAAGACACTCCGGTTTATATTTGTGCTAACTAGCTTCTCCCTACTGGTGGTTCAAATTAAATACCAACACCCATCCAGAGCAAACCCAGGTGAGACATTAGCTGGTGAGTATGCAGTATTATGGTATGGCTGACAGGCCGAGGATGGTTGTTTAACTTCTTTTTCTAATATTGGTTCGCTGCTTCGTTTTGTGCTGAATAAATAAAGTTATGATACGCCTAACCTAGTTTGTGTGCATCAAATTTGTCAGCTAATTCATGTGTAAAGGTGTTAGTGTGAATACATCATTGCGTATAGTTTCTGTAATTGTCGCTATTATGGCATCAAAAACTGGAGATTCAGGTTGTTCCATTATTGATACTATTGTCACTATTACATTATTGCTTATATTCCTTCCATTTTTTCTCTTTTTCCTCTATTTTTGTTTTATATATTTATAAAGCTGTATGATTTTGCTGTATGTGGACGCTTCAATCCACCCATTCTTGATCATTCCCCGTCCTCTAATGTCAATTCTGAGCGAATCGGGAATTTGACTGGCTTGAAATGTTGTAACTCTGTGAACGTATCACTTATCAGGTTTGTCTTGGGTTCCAATTGTACATAACTGTTGGTTCATTTTTGAAACCTTGTATGTTTCCATTAGAATTCTGTGATTATTATTTCGTATTACTTTTTCTAGTGATGTTAGTGGCTACCAAATATTCCAGGTGCATTCCCATCTCTACTTATTCAATTTTTTTTTTAAATGGAAAGGTAAATAAGATGTTAGGATAGTCTTCTCTCAATACTATACCCTAACTTATCAGAAAAAATAAAAAAAGAAAATTTACTATCTATGAACGGATCGATATCTTGGTGAGCTTGCATAAAATGGCCCAAAGAAGCAACATAGTCTGCTGCTCTATTACCTTCTATAAATGTGGCGCGAATCAACATAAGTGAAATTTCGAATCAGCTCCTTGACATCTTCCATCAGTAACTGTATTTTCCACAGGCACTAAGCCTTTCCCTGCAAAATATTAATAATAAGCAAATTATCCCCTTCAATAAATACTTTTGAAATATTATTACGCCAAAAGAAGACTATTTAAGGTAAAAATACCCCCAACACGTGGTCAAATCCTATAGTGACACGTGACCCAACAACAGGGCGACATGCGTCCCAATAGGAAGATGACACGTGGCAAACAAGAGAGCACTGGAATGAGAGAAAGACCTCCTTACAACAGGAGGCCTAAATCCCGAGGAAAGCGCTAAAATGACGCCCCCCTTACCTGATTGCGCTGCCAATCAGAGCACACCATTCTAGGTCACTAAATCCTAGATGGCACACACTCCCACCCCTAAAATACCCCAATCATTTATGACGGGAGTAGTGGATAGAGACATCTCAATTATTACATAAGCAATTTGCTCCAACTTCTCTCTACTTTCTCTCTCTAAATTATTTCGTTTTCCGATCACTAACTGATTATTGTTTGTCGAAGGCGAATATTCCGTCAAACAGAATATTCGTCGTTTTGCAAATGTCCGCGACCGTCCGGCTATATTCAAGACCGTCCCGAAGGATTCAAAAAATCCCCGAAACATTTGGCGCCGTCTATGGGGATACACGTCTGAAATTGCTAAAGATGGTCAGACACCCGGTCCTGGTCAGGACGGCCATGTAGAGAACATAGTCGCTACAATCAACACTAGTGATCCTTTGACCGCCTCATTCCATGAAGTCGAGGACCCCCCGATAACGGCCGACTCCTTGCAAGACGCCTCGAACAAGCTCCAAAAAGAGCTTGAGGGTAAGATACCTTCTTCTTCTAGGCAGCCGTCCAGAAGAGAAGAAGAGGGCATCAGAAAAAAAAAAAAAACCTTAAGACAAGACGGACCACACTGAAGGTGCAAGGTATACCCCGTTCAAAAGAAATATGAGGTTCCCAAGGGTGTCTCCAATGAACTGGTCCAGGCTTCTTGAGAAATCTAAGTCGGTTGGGGGCGGGGGGGGGGGGGGGGGAGACTAAGAAGCCTCTTAAGCAGCCAAATGAGCTGTCCCAGCGCTAGAAGGATGCTAGAGACTATCTCCAGCACAAGCGGCAGGAGTGAGCACAATTCCACTACTTGGACACTGCTTCCACTCCCACCATGTGAGATGAATTCTCAAACCATACCCTCTCCAGGCATACCAGCTCGGCCAGGACCAGCAAGAGTCAAGCTCATCGTACTCCAACTCCAATTCCTCTAACTTAACCACTTTAGTTTCAAATGCCCCATGATTATGGTGCAGTTTTGCCACTTACTCCCCCCGCGTACTGGCAGTACATGCATTATGGCCCGCCGTACAACCAGACGCTTACCTGGTCGGACCAGCCGCTCAGCCTATTTATTGGCAAATGCGCTTGCTGAATCTTGGTGACAAGCCGCCCTCGTTTTCTCAAGAAATTCTCAATTCTCATCTAGCTAAAGTGAAGAGTGTACCTGTGGGTGTCTATGACGGTACGAAGAACACATTTCCTTGTACAGAAATTTGATGTACCTACAAAGTGTGGATGATGCCACCTGGTGTAAATGCTTCCCGGTCACCCTCAAGGGTGTGGCTCAAGACTGGTTCAACGGTTTGTCGACCGGATGCGTAAATTGCTTTACAACTCTCAGCCTTTTGTTTGTTGGAAACTTCTCCTATAATATACCACCCCGTAAGACTAGTCTCAACTTGGTAACTATCATCCAAGGAAAGAAAGAAGGGTTGCGTTTGTACGTTCAGAGGTTTAACATGGAAAAGGCACAAATTCAGAATATGCCGGATGAAATGGCCTGCTCGGAGTTTCTTCGAGGCCTAAGGCACAATGATTTCAAGTTTGGTTTGATCAGAAAAAAGATTCGGACATACGCAGGTGTTTTGCGGGAAGTTGAATCATATGTTGAAGCAGCTGCTTTATGTTCGGTGACAAAATCAGAAGAGCCTGCAAAGGGCGCCGAGAAGAAACCATCTTCTAAGCAAGACTTAGCTGGCAAAAAGAAAGAAGGGAACAAAAAAAAGGAAAGAAGTCTGGATAGCTGATTGCCAACAGACCAAGTCCAAGAAAGTAAAGACGTACTGATCGGCCCCCTAGGTGTCGTTAGTTCCTAAAGGTCGAGTGAAGAATAAAAAGAAAACCCACGTCCTAAACTAACCAAAGGTAGCATAGTGGAAGAGGGGTCGAATCCTCAGGGAAGGTCAAACGTCTCTTGCTTAGATCACTTATAAGTCAATTGAAAAGGGAGGAATAAATTTTTGATGGATTTATCTATAGCTACTAGGGAAACAAATAAACTAAGAACTAAATTAACAAGCAACAAGCAGAGGTATAAAACTTCGAAAATCAAGGAATAGCAAACACTAGGGGATAGGGGAGAATTCCTAACTAACAATGATTTCAACAATTAGAGGCAACAAGAATGGTTCAATCGGTCAACCAAACAATTGGGGCCTATGGTCCAACATCTAGGATTCCCTCTCGAGCTCACCTAAACACCGCCTACCCAACCCCGCCTCGGTGGTCGAGGTCATCCCTAACCTAGTCATCATCACATACAAGCTCACTCTCGCGCAACTAGCATGCAACACAAAATAGGGTCTTAGAGGTGATCAATCTCTAATTCCTAACAACTAAAACCTAGGTTGGAATCAATTGCAAAACTTCTCAATCTACCCAATCTTGCACCACATATCATTCATTTCATCATTAGTTCATCATTTCCCCCTCCCCTAGCTAGAAACCTAGCCTAGAGAAGGAAGGGTCATACCAAAGCACACAAGAACATTAACAAAAGCAAAAACTAAGTTTAATGAGAGAAACATGGCTAAAACCAGAAAATAGGATGATTAAACTTTACTAAAGAAGTTAACTTTGAAGAGAATATGTTAAGTCTACTTGTAATCTATTCTAAATAGCATGAAATCTAAGAAAATAAGGATAATATTATACTAATAGCAAGAAAATAAAGGATCAAAACCAGAAATTGCAAGTTTAAACAAGGAGGCAACTAAGATATTAAACTATTCTATTGACTTGAAATAACAACTAAAGATAAGCTAAAACTAATTAAAATAGATAAATAAAGCAATAAATAAAGAGTAGGGATAGAAATAATACCAAAATATTTAATCTTGGATTGA